CAAACTCAAACGACCAATCCTCGTCACTATCATAAGCCTCCTCGACACCCTCGATATCGTCACCAGCGTCGTCCCCAGCTAATTGCCGCTCTCTTTCTCTTTCTTCATAACGTTCGATTTCCTATAATTCGTCCTGCGTCAAGTATGGTCCTTCTGGGGGCACGGGGAGCAAGAAGATGCGGGGGAAAGCTCGCTACGCTCCGCCACCGAGAAGGTGCTCGATTGCGCCTTGGACGTTGCCGCCGCTGCGCCGCAGGGCGGCGACGTTGCGGTCGAACTCGTAGAAGCCCATTTCGTTGAGCTGCCTGAGTTGTACTTCGTAGATTTCCTCAGGTGGCCGGTTGTCTGCTGGGGCTGGTGGGGCACCGAAGCCGCCTGCGCCGCCGAATCCGCCGGGACCGAAGAGTGCGGCGAAGGGGTTGCCGCCGGCTTGTTGGCCTGCTTCGCCTCCTGGAGCTCCTGCTGCGTCTTGACCACCAAAGGCTGCGAATGGGTTCGCTCCTGCGCCTCCTGCACCGCCCATCATCTGCATCATGTTGCGCATGGCTTCTGGGTCCTGCATCATCCTTTGGGCGGCCGCCGCGAACGGGTTCGCTTGTCCGCCTTGTGCGCCAGCTCCACCAAACAAGTTGGGAAACGTGCCCGAGGCGTCTTGTGTGTTTTGTGCCGCACCACCCTGTTGCTGAGGAGCCAAAGGATTCTGGCCTCCAGCAAAGAGATTGGCGAACGGGTTTGCTCCAGCGCCTGCGGCACCACCGGCTGTACCGAATGCGGAGAATGGGTCTGTTGGTCCGGTCGTATTAGGCTGGTTCGGTGTCGCCGTTGTGCCTTCGCCTGTTGCAGTCGAACCTGGCTGTGTGGTGTTGTCGGTAGCTCCTGGAGCTGGGAAACTCGGCCCGGTGGGGCCCATATTCCGCTGCATCTGCAGTTGCATGCGCATCATCTCTGGGCTGAACATCATACGGCGCATTTCGGGGTTTCGAAGGACTTGCTGAAGCATCGGGTTGTCGCGGATCTATCTCAGATTAGACAATGCATAGTAGAAAGAAGGAACAAACTTACCATGGGGCTCTGCAGCATCATTTCCACTACTGCTGGGTTGTTCATGGCCTCGTTCATCTGCGATAGAAACATGGGGTTCTCCATTTGCTCTAGTAACGCTTCTGGGTTTGTAGGAGGGCCGCCCATCTACCACGTATCAGTAAATGTCCATGTTGAATCTCGGGTTGATCTACACTTACGCCACCGTCTGGTCCGAAAGTGTCCATTCCTGGTAGACCGTGAAAACCGGCATAGCGCGCGCCTGTGAGCCCAGCGAGAGGGTTGTTGCCTGTTCCTGCAGCAATGTTGGTCGGCACCTGTGGCGTCTGGGTGTTGCCCCCGCTTGCTGAGCCTGCCGTGCCTTGGTTTCGTACGTTGCTGGCGGCACCCTTGACGAGATGGACTGTGTGGCCATCCTTGATCTTGACGCTAGCGAGTGTGTCATGGTCCTTCAGCACGCGACCGGAGTATATCAGGCGTTGGCGTTCGGCGGGAACATCTGCGTATTCCGACGTCGAGAGCTTGGCCTTGAGGTCGGCAACTGTGGTGGTTTGGGCTAGTGTGAGAACGTGCTTCTGGTCGTTTGCAGCCTTGACATTGAAGGTGATCTGCGTGTCCTCGGTGGTTGTGGCGGCGTCGTCGGCCATGATCGCTGATTTACGAGCGTGGCGTAGTGATAGGAAGCTCTACAGGCACTGGAGGAATAGAGCAGTCTGGGTATGACTATTGACTGCGAACTGATACGTGTCCTTGGCGAGTGTGAGTGGTGTATAGCAGCAGAGATGGTTGACAGTGCGAGAGGCCGTCCTTAGCTTTGGATAGGATTGGAAGGCAGTAGAACGTCACTGGACCCGCACCTGGTACCCTGCCGTTCCTTAGCGCGTGCCCGTGCATATCGCGCGGCTTCCGCTGACTAAGACACGCGCGCCAAGCCTTCGGGTGGGGGCAGGAGCGGAGGTTGGCCGGGGAAGCCAGCCGAGGTATCTTGGAGCGTTGAGTAGCTGTCGGCCGTCATGCAAGCTACAATGGCGTCCGCGTCTGTTCTATCTACCCGAAGTCATCTTCGAGCTCCCGACTGAACCTTTCTCTCATTCAACAATTGAAGCTGTTTGCTATCATACATACTTCGCGTAACCTCAGTCAAACCTCAACATGAAAGGCATACAGATCAAGGAATATGTCTCGGTAAGCATCCTACCTAGCAATGTACCAGCCTCAAGCTTCACCACTAACTCTATCAGGGCCCAGAGGATCTCAAGGTCCTCGACCTCCCAACCCCGACTCCCAAATCGAACGAGTACCTAATCGCCATCCACGCCTCAGCAACCAACTTCTTCGATCTCCTCCAGATCCGCGGCAAATATCAACACCAACCTGCATTTCCCTGGATAGCCGGTTCAGAGTTCTCCGGCGTTGTCCTCAAAGCACCGACCTCGCTCGCAGGAGGCAAGACACCAAAGTTCAAGGAGGGCGACAAGGTCTTTGGTGCTTCCCAAGGCGGCTACGCAACACACATCGTTTGCACAGAGGAGAGACTCAAGCCCGTGCCCGAGGGATGGAGTTTTGAGGATGCCGCTGGTGTATTTGTTACAGCGCCGACGAGCTATGCCGGTCTGGTAACTAGAGCAGGGATCAAGAAGGGTAAGCCATCGGAACTCCGAACCCTGCTCATCTTCCTATGAAGAAGCTAACACTGCTCTGTAGGCGACTGGGTACTCGTCCACGCAGCAGCCGGCGGCGTCGGTCTCGCCGCCGTGCAAATCGCCAAAGCCTTCGGCGCAATCGTCGTAGCTACCGCTGGCACATCACACAAACTTGACGTCGCGCGTTCCTTCGGCGCAGACTACGCCGTCTCCTACCGCGACAAAGATTGGCCCGAGCAAGTGAAGAAGCTCACTCCCAAGGGTCGTGGCGTGGATATCGTATACGACCCTGTTGGATTAATCGCTCAGTCCATGAAATGCACGGCCTGGAACGGCAGACTTCTGGTCATTGGTTTTGCGGCGGGCGATATCGAGAAGATGGCTACGAACCGCATTCTGCTCAAGAATGTCAGTGTTGTTGGGTTGCATTGGGGTGCGTATGCGATCAATGAGCCGGAGATGCAGGATAAGGTTTGGGACGGTATCTTCCAGCTTGTCAAGGAGGGGAAATACAAGGGCACTGCTTTTACCGATGTGGAGTACGTCGGTCTTGACAGTGTACCCGCGGCGCTAAAGGCGTTGGGTGGCCGCAATAGCTGGGGTAAGGTTGTTGTGAAGGTACCGCAAGAGGGTGGAAGCAAGATGTAAAGTGCCTGGCAACATCGTCTGCTAGACTATGCGCAAAGTCCGGCATAAAATGAGAAGCCTGAATTACAGCGTAAACTACTCCTCCACTCTCGTCCTAACATACCGCAGCGTCCTCACCTCAAAATCATTACAATCATTGCACGAAGGTCCAGGCCGCAAAAGCCTACGATCACGCCTCGATACCACAGTCTCTCCCAAATCCCTCTTCCACCGCCTTTCCACTACATCCCCATCCCAAACTAATGCCCACTCTTTCCCCTTCCCCTCTTCTTCCCCATCACCACCAAACCCAAACCTCCACATCTTCGCATACTGTACAACGCGTTCCAACTCCTCCTTCCTCGCCTCGAACGTCTCCAGCACCAACTCCAGCGTCTTCAGATCAGGCAACGCAGAAACGACATGTGCGCCCCAAGATTGCGGGTTGAGCCGCGGATGCCGACCAGCCTTGCGCTGTTCAGCACGCAGACGCATGGCTTTGCCCGAGGGGCGGCCCTCGTTGAGGTCGTAGCGCCCGAACGACGGGTCGAGATGGAGGTTTACGGCTACGTTCCATGTTGACCAGTCTGTGCGTGTGAGTCGCAGAGTGAGATGGGTTAGGGGTTGTGCGAGGGTGATGTGGAGGGCGCGGGATGATGGTAGTATGGATTCCGCGGGGGTGGGAAGACGATTTAGAATATCGTCTAGTCGTTGAGGTTGCGTATCCGGTAATTCGACTATGGTCGGTACAAGAACATTGTCGTCAAGAGTGCGTGAGCACCCCTCTATCCTCGCCCGTTCTCCATCGCGGAAACAGCGCAGAGGCACCACGTATGCGCCCTGGTGTCTAGCGTTACCTCCCAACTCTTTCAACACATCCCCCAGCTTCCCTTTTTCTAACTCGCGCTGCTTGATTGTGATATCAAGTCCGTGTATCTGTGCTAGTTGCCATGCTGACATTCCAGCGCTTCGAAGATGTCGAGAGGCATCCATGTGGTACGCATTCACCTTCAATGGCATACCCCACGTTTCTCGATACACCGCTTTACAAGCCAAGAGGAGGGAAAAGGTGATATCAGAAGGATACAGAGGTTTCCCACCCGCCAAACTCCCAGCATTTTGGCCGTGACCGAGATATTTGACGTGGACGACTGGTATGGGGTCTTTGGGACCAAGCGAGTCGATGGGATAGGAGGCTGTATCTTTGAGAGCGTAGGTATAGATTATCTCTCTGAGTTCCAGAGGAAGTGATGTGAAGAGGCGGCAGTTGTTTTGTGGTTGAATGTTTGATGGATCTAGAGACCATGCTAGTGGTTCACGGGTTGTTTTCGTGCGAGCGCATTGTAGATCGACATCTTCGGCTGGGGTACTACCAGTGGACTTTGTGTCGCTGGGTGTTGGGTTGTGTGCGGCTTCATCGGTGGCGTCTAGTTGATCTAGGTAGCGTGTACATTCGTAGCAGTTCCCGCATCGATCGTCAGCCATTGTGGTATTTTGATTGTCTTTGTAGACTGATGAACGGAACTGGGAAGAGTTGTACAACAATGATGGTAATAAGAGGGATTCTATGTAGTGAAGTGGATGACTCAGATGTTGATGTGTATGGTTGCCTGAATGTATGCCGATTCCGTCTTTGCAGTTTAGGCGTCCCAGCTGGGGGTGGGTATTCGCCACTTGAACACGAGCGAATCAAGTAAAGCGGCTGCTGGGCTCTAACAACTCCCCAATCGCCTTCCTGATATACTCCTCACCCTCAACCCATCCTCCACCTATCAGTCGCTGAAGCTCCACAACATTACTCATCCTCAACCCTGGAATATGAGCAAATAGCTTCTCAATCACATCCGTGATATCGCCATGATCAATTGCACCAGCAATAGCACGATACATGCCAGACTTACGCGTGTATTTCGCGTCGACGCAACCAGTCTCTGCCATGGCATCGGCATAGATATCCGCGTACTTCTGGATCTCCCATGTTGGCATGTGGGGCGAGTCAGCGAGAGAAAAGTCCTCGTTCCAATCGCGACGGAGGAAGTCGGGTAGTGAAGCATAGCCGATACAGCGAGGGACGGCGAGACAATTATCCCAATCGATGATGCCTGTGACGTTGCCGTCGTCGTCTACGAGGATGTTCTGTAGATCGAGATCAGGGTGACGGATGACGAACGTCTCGTTCTCGTCGGCGTCTGCGGGGTCCTTCTTCGAAACGGCGATGGTTGGGTGGTCGTGAAGCATGTCGATGATCATACGTATTCCAGATACCATGTTCAGTGCATCTTGATCAACATCTGGATCGTGTTCAGGGATCGCAGGCCAGCTCTCCTCTAGGTTCAGCTTCCAATAGTCCAGGTTCTTCTTGAATGGTGCATATCGGTACACTTGGGTTGGTCCTTCTAGATCCTCCGCAGTGAGTTCATACGGCGGCTTCCAGCGATATGAGACTGTAGTTGTTGGCGTCGCGCCCAAAGAAAGTGCGTCCTTGCAATCTACAAGGCCAATTTCATTGAAGCTCACGTCTCTTAGCTGTGACATACACTGCGCAAGTGAACGCAGAATATTACGACGCTTCTTTTCCGTTTCTGGAGAAATGCAATTGGTAGTGACATGATTGCGATCACTAGGCTTGTCATACCAGACGTTTTGCGCGGCTTTTCCTGGCATGCGCTTCATCAAGATGTATGGTGCGCCGATGAAAGAGGTCTCGATATCTAAAGCGAAGTCAACAACTTCTGGTACCGGAATAGAAGTTTTGTTTCGCAGCCACTGCATCAAGGCCACTTCGCAGTGCAGGTTGTGCTGATCGCCTGGCTGCCACCGGGCTGCAGTTCCAATAGCAGGGACTCTGAAAACATATCGTTCGATACGACGGTTTGGAGGCTCGTCTTTTATGGCTGCCATGAACACAACATGATGAAATCCGCCATCCATGCGTTGCGTAACGTGGCATTCCTCTAAAGCAATATCGACGGAGCAGTAGCTCTCGATAACCGAATGCAGTAGCTCTCTGAATGTCGAATCAGGAATTGCGTGAATCTTTTCCCAATCAAAGCGAGACACTCCGGCTTCAGATGCATCTGTCTTGACGGTGGTGTCGCGATCGTCCTCAGTGCCAGAATCTGCTCCACTCTTTGCACGTGTGCATGTATTACCGTCTTGCGGCTGCGTCTTGTTACTTGGCAGTGGAAGGTTGTCACATCCTTGGTATCCTTGTGTGTTTCGCAAGGATGCGCTATCCCTTTGCTGGCTACGGCTCGACGGATCCGAGGTCATGTCAAAGCTCTCCGATATGTCGTCGTGAAGGTTCACTGCCGTCGATGCGTCGCCCATGTCGTCCATTCCGGAACGAATAATCGTAGTTGATCCGTTCGTCGTCGTGTTGCTATTGTGTTGATGTATCTTATCGAAGATGGACCCAGCAAGCCCGAAAGTCAGAGTGGAGGCGACGGATGATTGGCTCCCAGCAACAGGAGTCGTACGTTTGCCGTCAGCTGCGGTGCTTTTGCAAGCGGCCAATCCTTTATCTGCTTTGTCAAGGACGTGATTGTCTTTCGCAATGCTGATATGGCTATCGAACGGCAGCGCAAAGTCTTTGTTTGTAATCTGGTCAACACCGGGCTCAGTGAGATCAGACTCTCGACAGATGCCATCAACTTCCCACCCACCACTGGACTCCAGCTCGAAGCTGAGTGTGAGCGGTTCGAGCTGGTAAGAGTCGTCGCTAGTCTCGGATGTGCGTTCTCCGTAGGTCTTGGGCAAGACGGTTCGACCATGTTTATGGTGGAACAGTCTCCGCAAAGAGTCCAGCATGCGCGATGCTCTTGCAGATTTTGGAGCCTCGATGGCGCTGAGTGCAGGCGAGATAACAGAAGATGCATTGGGCGTTGTCACCTTCGGTTGACTATTCGGCCATAGGCTTGTGATCTTGCTTAGAATGCCCATAGCTAAGTAGCGTTGAGTTGACCACTCGTGATCGTGAGATGGTGGCAGGTTGTTGTAAGGTCCAAGTAAGAATGTGTTTATGTATTAGCAAGAGCCAAAAGCTTTGACTGTGTCCCTCGTGATTCACTACTACCGATCAGTGCGATCGGGAAGCGATAGATTACACTTATGCCTTTCACATGGCCCAGTTCTTGCCAGTTCAAAAGTTCGCAGAATACCCTGGCTTTACTGTTCAATATCAGTACGCGCACATTCAACTCCACTGTTGATCAAATACTCAGAAAAAGACATTCCTTGCCCCCTTAAGAACTCAATAACAGGATCTCGAAGATCAAAGTTCTGGTCCGTTACCTTTGAGAATATTCACCATGGCAGTATTCAATTTGCCCTTTCTGCGACTCTATGGGCCCGGTTGGGTAATCTCCTGGAGTGCCCGTTATTCTAACATTTGGCGAATGACATACGACATGGAAGGGCACCACTGTGCAGAGTCTGGATGCGGCACTGTCAAGCGCAGTTGCTTCGAGCGGCTGCATCTCGCATACTGTTGCGTACCCATTCAGATGGTCAACGGCCAGTGGCGGTTCTGCGGCAACCGATTCGGAGTAGAATCTCCTCATGGTTGCTCATTACACCATTACGGCGAGTATGAGGATAACCGCTTCTTCCAGATGGCGAAGAAGAATTTGGAGTATACGCTCCCGAGCACGTTCCCTCACGAGCAGATCGGATGGCAGATGAACATACTCAAGCTCGGAGACATCCGCTTCTCGTTTACTATGTGCATGGGTCTGATTAATGGTCAACCGAGCTTTGTTCGAGTTCTGAAGGTCTCGCCAGACGGTTCGCCCGCTGAGATCTGTGAAATCGTTAAAGTAGCAGAGAGGGGTTTGCAGCTCACCAAACCTAATGCCAGCAACGATAGCTCCTTAGGCGACAACTCTGCAGAAGCAGATGCAATTCCTCGAAAGCCAGCAGCTCTCTTTAGCATAATCGAGGAGGAAGAAACAAACGAACAAGCATATAATAATGCCACCTCTTATATGACCTATAATCAGGCTATCATGGAAGCTAGTCAGCAGCGACAGAGAGATGCAAAAGACTCCCAAAAAGCCAGAGCAGCTGAAAAAGCAGCAAAAGCCGCTTCTTCCAAGTCCAAGGCCAAGTTGCAGAAGCCGAAGACCGTAAAAGAGACATTAGCTACAACCAAGAAGAAAAACTAATTATCGTACATTAGTCCTGTAAGTACTTCATTTGGGTGTTGCTTTGTTTTCGAGCAGAACTGGCGCAATTCTTTGCTACCGCTGACGACTGTAGTTCCGTAATCGGCCAGCACCAGAATATCGTCGCGCGTCGATAGGAAATCGCAGGTGCTGAGATACAATGTGAATATTCCAGCATGATCAGACATGATGGTAACCACTGGCTGCGCGGCGATGCAGTGTAGAATCAGCATAAGCTTGGCGAGGGAACCTGGCGTTCATGAAATAGGCGCGCGGCATGGAAATCTCTTTTCATCAGAACGCCTTAAGCGTATAGAATCAGTTTGTGCTGAATGAAATGACCCCTCGGACGTCTCGGTGCTTTTGGTGAAGTATGTTGTTTAGTGATGAGATGTGGATGAGGTTCGAGTTGGAAGGAACTTTGGAGCACTGACCACCAAAGCGCGTCGCTGACTAATTGCCGATCGCCGAGCTCCTTGTTACGCGCATCCGCGTTGGAGCTACGTCTTAGCCTCTGCGTTTTGCTGACTTCTGTCCAGATGTCACTTTCGACTGTCGGTGCGCTTGTTCATCTCTTACGTTTATCAACATGACTACTTGGTGCCGGGCTGGCCCTCATCGTGTCAAGCTTCATACGGGCCACCTTTGCCACCAGTCGCGAGCCAAAACCCGGCCCTGAAGTCTAGCCTGAGCATGCGCGAGCTTCTTATTACGAGCATACTTGAAGAACTCAATGTCGCCTTTCGCGTATCTGTGGTCGTTGTAGCTTTATGGGCACGGCGGCGAGATGAACGCTGCGAAACCAGGGCCATTACTTGCCATGGCTGTGGGGTGAAAGTAACGGCACAACAGTATGCCTGTCACTCCTGGACCACACTCAATCTTGCAGACGAAATTGAAATGGCCTACACGGATAGTCGAGAGGGGTGTGACAGAATTCACGCTATTGCCAAGTGTCAGTATGATTTGGCGTGACAATTCTAGGCTTTCCAATTGTCGAACAACGCGACCGCATTCACTTTGAACCTTTAGCAGGTCAGTACACGCCATCGTTCTCAGATGAGTCTGCGGATTCATTTCACACTATGAGCTAGCACCTCTCTCGACTATAAGTCCGTCCACTATTCTCCCACATCACTACTCACCTTCCCGAAACCCTACGCCTTCTTTACAGATCAACCAAAACTTCGCCACTTACTCTCTACACATACTACTCAGATCCGAAACTCCAAACCATCGCTTCAGACCATCATGTCATCGGAAGATGAGAAGATAATATCCTCGCTGGCCAATTTGGACATCGGCATGACCGCGCAGGAGTCGACAGCTGACGCGAACAGCATTTCAGTCGAGAAGAAGCGCCGAGAAGACGAAGAGATGGACCGCATGATTGCTGAGATGGAGGCAGAAGAGAAGAAACGCGAAGAAGATGAGAAGCGCTACGCCGATGAGAAGGCAAAGAAGGCCGAGGGTGAGAAGACCAACGCTGCCAACGAACATGCGAACCAAAATGTGACTTGCCCAAGTCAGTCCTCTGCCCCTGTGGGGAACGAAGAGAATGAACCTGGCGATCGTCATTGCGTTGGTCTGGATGAAGAACCAATTCTCTATGATGACGAAAGCGACGATCCCGACGAATTCGACTATCCCGACGACGTGAGTCATGTCGATCCTTACCTAGAACGCGAAGACTGGGAGCCTATCCGACAAATTTCAGACGATAAGTTCAAGGATATCGTCCTGCTATCCGTGGATCCGAGCGGCCAGCTTGCGCGCGCAGATGTCGATGTCCTCTCCCGCTATGAGGGCGCAAACAATCTGGTTTTGACGCTTCACGTCCGCCACAAAGATCAGGACGACCAAGACTATGTCGTCTCAGTACCATCTGTGGGTACGCAACCTCGTTGGCAAGCGGGAGATGCCCACAATCTGAGGGCTGAGGTTGGTATTATGAAACATCTTTTTCAGCACACAACTGTTCCGGTCCCCGAGGTCATCGCATCAGTAGATTCAGTAGAGGAATCCGACTTGGGTGCACCTTACATCCTCATGAAGCGCTTACCTGGCCGTCGTGCTCATGAGCTGTGGTTCGAAGATACCTCGGATTTAAGCCACATTACCGCAGTCCGTATCTCAAAAGAAACCGAGGCAAAGCGCGTCAACATGTTGCGTTCACTTGCCAAGGCTATGGCAGGGCTACAAAATATCGAGTTCAAGGGCGTTGGCATTCCTGTCTTTACGGACGGGAACAGCAGTGAGACGCATCATGTTGATTATGTATCTGTTTGGAAGGATTACCACAACCTCACTCAAGAGGACCTGGAATCTGACACTCAGGTCGAGAAGTACGGGCCATTCACATCAAGCATCGAGTACTTGACTCCTAACCTGGGCACTCTTTGGCCACGCCTACACGACAAACGACTGAATAATCTTAATGGACCTGACCGCTTTAAAGGGCTAGGCTACAGGAAAATACTCGATATCATCTTTTCGCATCCCGTCATCAGGACTTCCAAACCGTCCAACGCCGAAACCAGCGAGGAAGAGACGTTCGTGCTGTGGAATGAGCTCTACCTCAATAACATTCTCGTCGACGATGATGGTAATGTGACAGGCATTTTAGATTGGGATTGCGTCTACGCAGCTCCACGTTTCGTGGGTTACGCCTGTCTTCCACGTTTTCTCCGCAAAGATTGGCTGGATTACTTCACCGTGCTCGATTTCCCGTGTATGGGATACCAACTGGACCATTACCGTCAGGTTTATATCAAGGCTATGGAGGAGACCGGATGTGATGAAGCACGCTTCACCGCCAAGTCGGGCATGTACTGGGCGATCGAAGACGTACTAATCAGTAAGATGTATGCCCCCGATCTTCTCAAGAAAATCTTGCTTGAGATACCGGAACTGCGTCGCGCTGAGCTCAATGAGTTCGCAATGCTGCTGGGGCGAGGCGACTGGCCTGAGGCTGAAGAGTGGTTGACGGAGAAGATTGGAGAGGTTCTAGATAGCAAGCCCCTGTCACGCTGAAGGGGTCTATGGAGGGAGTGAGACGTGCTGAATGCGTGCGTTCATCAGGAACAGCACCATTAGTATGGAGACTAATCAAGGAGAGCTTTGTAGAGAGATAGGACAGCTGGTATCAGGTTCTGTCGCCAGAGCTTCTTCAAATTTCGCGCGCTGTGTAGTGATACGAAAATACAAGTTCTGTTTATTACACCATTTTTCACTGACTAAAGTGCTTCGATGTTTTCCTTTCTTCTCTCGCTACATGTGGTCAAGTGAAGATCGCTACGTCATGGATCGTGCCTGACATCACCACTCTCACAAGTACACATGTGAGTACATAAACATATCTGCAGTAGTTTCTGAAGAATATACAACTCAGAACTATCAATCTGAACAATTCTCAAAAAATATGGCATCCCCATTAATAATAGTCGTCACCGGCTCCAACCGCGGAATCGGCCAAGGCATCATCAACCTCCTCGCCAACACCCAACACCCACAGCCCCTCCACATCTACGCCACATCCCGCGGTGGCGTAGACCTCAAAATCCAAGCCCAACCCCCCAACGAGATCCGCTACGCAAAACTAGACGTCTCAGACAAATCATCCATAACATCTTTCCTCAAAACCGCGCTTAACGACAGCGGCAAAATCGACGTCTTGATCAACAACGCCGGTATAAACAACAACAACAACGAAACGCCCGATGCCGCCGAACAAGTCATCAACGTAAACTACCACGGCACAAAACAAATGTGTCAACTCTTCCTCTCGGAAGGAAAAATGTCTTCCACACCAAACGCGCGCATAGTAAACGTCTCCAGTACCGCCTCCTCCTTGTCAAACTACCCCAGCGCCACTGCATCCCGTTTCCGCTCTGCAACGTCCATCGCCGACGTAGACACCTTGGCTCAAGAATACATCGACTCCGTACGCTCCTCATCCCAAGAAGCCGCCGGGTTCGGCGCGCCCCCGAAATCGTATCAAGTCAGCAAAGCGCTTATGAACGCTTTGACAGTCGTGCTGGCACGTGAAAACGAGGGCGTGTTGGTGAATTGCTGTTGTCCCGGTTGGGTGAATAGTGATATGGGGAATCAGATTGGGAGGCCGCCGAAGACGTTGGAGGAGGGGGCGAGGATACCGGTGAGGTTGGGGATTGGGCAGCTTGGTAAGGGAGGGGATAGAGACGGCGGTTTAACACAGGAAACTCAGCCGATAAGTGGTAGATACTATGGCAACGACGGAGTAACAGACCGGGGGTGGGGGAGGGCGAGGAAGTGGTGATCGAACTATTGTAATGGTTGAGAGCTCAAGCCATAGAAGACAGTATCTCTAAGCGAAGAAGACCGAGTATACAGAACCCCATCCCCACACTTCCCAAAAGCCCACCTCGATCAATCCAAAAACCAACTCGGCACCTCCGGCCCCCAAACCGCCAAACTCTCGTCCCCCGCCTCCCCCCACCCCACCGGCGTCTCCTCATTAACGCAATCCCCATCCGCATAATGCTCAATCATATTGCCCGTCGTATCCCACCAATAATCAAACAACTGACTCCCCAATATATGCCTCCCCACGCCCCAAACACTCTTATACCCCTTACTCGCCAACCACTCATGCCCCAGATTCTGTGTATCAAAGTCGTGGACTTCGAAACTACAGTGATGGACATGGGAAGTGGGGTTGCTGGACAGGAAAATGGTGTGGTGGTCTGTGTAGCCGGGACCGAGGTCGAGGTGCGCGAAGATGGCTACGTCTTTTTGTTGGGGGAGGGAGGGGTCGGACGGGTTGGGGTTGATGTAGAGGAAATCGGTGGGGACGATGTTGAAGGTGCGGGTGTACCATTGCATTTCGGCTTGGAAGTTTTGGACGCAGAGGCCGTAGTGACCGAGTTTGTGGACGGCGGCGGGACCGGGTTTGAAGCGTTGGAAGCGCGCGATGCGGGGCTTTTCGTTTTCGTAGTTTGTTGTTAGGACTTCGGGAAATGGGCCTGGGTCCTTTTTGGTCTGGCCGTGCATTAGGTTTATGGGGAAGCCTTCTGGGTCGTGCAATGTGATCATGTGGCCGCCGCCTGGTGCGTCGGTCAACTCCTCGATAGGACCAGCACCCGCGACTTTCGACGCTTTTTCTAGCTCAGCGTAACTTTCGACTTCGAAACAGCCGCCGAGGAACTTCTTTTCTCCTTCTTGTGCGTAGTAGACGTATTGATCTGAGCCGTAGCCTTTGAACCATTTCTTGCCTGGGGCTTTTTGGGCTACGCTCATGCCGAAGTCACGGAGGAATGTGGTGATTTCGTTTAGATCAGGGTGTTGGTACCGCATGTGCACCAGTTTTGTGAGTTTGATTTGGGCATCGCGGTCGATCTTTTGCTCTTGCTGCCATTGTCGGAGTGGTTTGCAGGGCTTCGGTATGGCGATGGATTGGTGGACGGAGGAGCCGCGGTTTGGTGATGTTTCCCGGCTTGGGTTCTGGAAGTTTGGTTAGCCTGTTTTTGGACATTGAGATTTTCGTTCATCAAAGAAGAAGAAGCTCCAAGGCGAACTCATGTGTTGAACATGCCAAAGAGTATCGAGGATGCAGATGTGGGGCCGTTAGAGATACATACGGCAGGTGTGATTTTGTCATTAAACTCGTCGAAAGCCATGTTGAAAGAATTTCCAAGTCTCTTTCGTCAAACAAAATCGCTGTATAGAAAGCAGGCAAAGCAATTCGATGTTTGGTTGCCAATGCAGCCAGCGACGGGAGAGTATATAACCGGATGTGGGGAAGGAGATGGCACCTATGCCGATGTGGGGTCCCGGCATCTTCGTAGGGCTGAAGGCAAAGCATCCTGCATCAACGCCACTGGTTCGCATATGCAACAGATACTTGCTGAGCCGGTATGTGGAGAGTTAAGATGATGTGAGATCAGCGTGGCACATGTACAGCCAGCCGCAGTTCGCAAATGATGCTGTTTGTTCGATTTTCACTTCAAAGCTCCATCATTTCCTCTTCTTCCACAGTAGGTTTGGCCCCTTCGACCAAGTTGTTCAGCCATGTACCCAGTCTGAGCGCAGCCTTGCTTATCTGCAGCTCTACGATGGGCACAGCTCCTGCCGCATACCCATTAGTCCCAAGATCTGTGTCGTTCGTTACGCGACTCCACACGTAGTCGCAATCCCATTTGTTGCTCTCCTTCGCCCAACTTGTTGCGCACTCCTCGGGTATGGAAGGGTCGGTACAGGAGAGCCACATGTATGGCGCGGAGTAGAACTGGTCTTTGCGAATACGAGCGACGAGCCCAGAGAAGAACGGATCGATCGACTCGTGCGAGAAGGGATGGTCGACGTTTGCCGCGAAATAGGGTATGTAGCCGTCCCAGACCTTGTTTGTTAGTACATCTTTTTGCTATCGGTGTAATATACTCACAGAATGCAGTTGCGTGTGAGCGCCACCAAATACCACTTTGTACGTGTTGCCTCCTACTTGTCGGCCACTTGCATGTAGAGGCTGATGAATGTCGCCCAGGAAATGAGCAACCCACTTCAACGCATAAGAGCAAGTCAGGTTTGCACCTCCCGTCAAATCACCAGTATACACCTGGTCTATGCACTCCCGCAGTATCCTCGTCTGGTTCGCAATAGCACTAACAACGCATCCGCCCTTTGCGCAGTCCCGCGCATAGTCCAGACTGCAATTCTCAGGTTGGCGATCGTGTGTGTCTATCCAGTGCCACTGGTACGAGAAGTGGCCTTCGCTGGTGTGCGCATACCCGTCTGCCCATGCTGCGGAGCGCCCGACTGAGCCGTTGTATTGGGGTTCGAGGATCTCTGCGAGGACGGACGTGGTTTCGGGTGTGAAAAAGGTTTCTGCCATGAAGCCGACTTGGTTGTGAACTGTGTGGACTTAGCGCTAGTCACTCGCGAAAGTGAAAGGACGTACCGTCTGTGTTCCATGCTGTCGCCGAAGCTACAAGCGTAGCTCCTATGACGATGCTTCTATGCATCATGGTACCGGAGGTTAGTAGAGCTGTCAGTTCTAAGAAAGAAGAAGAGGAGTCTATCTCTAGAGGTATCGAGGCGCGCGGCGCTTATGTACACTCTGGAGCTTGTGGCTGGGTGGATGCGAGCTGAAAGATGGGGCTGGAAGCCTAGAATTCCACTGTTGCCGTATGAGAAGGTCAAGATAGATCAAGCTGAGATTTCGTACAAATGGCAGTATCCCAAGAATGTAAAGACGAGATGATCAGTGTCTGGCGCCTCTGTTGTTGACCTCGGGACGCGTGATGCACTATGATGACGCGCCGTCCACGTGGGGTGGCCGGGGAGATTGCTGCAGGGCAAGCGAACTAGAGCCGAAACGGCAACGCCCATCGCGCCTTCCCCACACGTGCCTAGGTGTGAATCGCCATCACTGCCCAGGTGCGCTTTCACCTGCGTCTGCCACATCTGCGGTCTTGGAGATGGCATTAGTTCCAAATACTTAGACGTTTAGGGCACAGATTTGACGCGATTTTCTTCACCAATTCTGCGACTAACACTCTGAGAACGCTCGAAATGGAAGACAGTGAGGAAAAGAGGGACTGACAATGCATCGTAGATGGCATTGAAGGTGAGCGTCGTTCAATTTGTGAAACAAGGTACAGTTGCAGCTTCCTCCCTTTCACATAGGTGAAGTTTGCGCCTCGATAACCGAGAGCTCCTTCCTGTATTGAGGCGAGATGGAAACGGCCTTCACCTTCCTCTTCGCCAGCTCACACCTAGTATCCTTTTCACCACCTCTTCACCTTGTCTGCTCTCCTTTTTCTTCCTATCTAACCGGCAGTTGTCACGTACCTAGACGCGTCTCAACTCCCCTTCCAAGATCTCATTATCGACAAACATTCCACGTTACCCAGCACCGTCGTCACCATGTTCAAATTACCTCTCCAAACCGCTCGTGGTGTCTCCAGGTCTGCACCAGTCTCTTTCAAGCGCCAGCTACGACCAAGCTCCAGTTCAGCGTCCGACCGCGCCGGATACGTTGACCGAGCCGTCAACGAGCTCCAGGCTGCGCAGGGCGTAACGACTACCGGTCGCATTGTCAACAAGATATGCACGCGCCTCGCCAACGATAGAGCAACGACGCGTACAGAACAGCTGATCTGGCTTGCGAAACATGCCCTCGATACATCAGCAGCACCCAAGCGCGACACTGACAGCAGCAAGGCTTCGGTATACCACAAACCCCAAGAGAAGCAAGAAGATGAGCAAAAGTCAACTGCACCTGAGGCGGACGGCAAACGTTCTTGGGAGGGCGTTTCCGCATGGCCGCATTTGTGGTAGGTATGTGTATCGTCACGACCCGATAAAGAGGCCGACTTATGTGTGCGAACAGGTAGATTTCCGGTTCAAGCACCTCTTTTCGATCATGAGCGCTTCTCTGTCAGCGGGTAGTCCTCAGGACTGTAGGTGTCGAGCCCGGCGCGTGGAAGCTGTGGAAGCTCATGGTTACGTATCATCGTCAGCTGCTCCAGGCCTTCTGAGTAGCTATGTGGACCGAGTACCCCATGTGGGCTGCTACAACAACACGAGAATACGCATGTATACGCTTCGATACGCTTGAGACTGCACCAGCAGGACTGCGATATACTCGGCAAGTGGGCGAGGCAGACTTCAGGTGGCTTTGGGTCATCGGTATCAGGCAGCGTTACAATATATTCAGTCATATCTCATCTAGGCTTCTAGACTACTGGTGTGTATTCGGTGAATTCGGTTCCTAACAATCCAAGCCAACTGAATTAGCGGAAGGTCGGTGGACGCCTGACATTCTCAAGCAGCACCCAGATTAGCATTTCCAGTGTCGATCGTTTCAGATGCAATTTGTGACATGCAAAATGGACCCCAGGAGTAGGTAACAAGGCATCGGGGGCTGAGCGATGACGAAGCCCCGCTTGTGGCTTTGATCTATCCATGGCCAATCACACGCCAAGAAGGCCGAAGAGGTCCGCATCATAGCGCATATGCTCTCCCGCGCGTGGAATACAGGCTTGCAGCTCCTACTTCTCATTCTTAGTGTAGCGGCTCCTCCTGACGCTCTCTCTTGCAGCTTCGTCATTACCTACAATGCCCTCTTACTGAGCCTTCTTTTGCAACCACCATGGCGAGTTCAAGTAACCCCGCGCAGGGCAATGACGCGCCCCGCGACAATGCCCCGCCAACGCAGCCATATACACAAACACAACCCACGTTGGTCTTACCTGGTGGTTGACGACAGTTCTATACTGACTTGATGCGTAGCGCGTCCTCTAATTCACATAACAACCCTAGCGCCAACGATGGTCCCGCCTACGAAGCACCGACCCTAGGGGACCTACCACCCGCATACACCGAGTTGCCAGGCCAGGTCGAGAACGAAGAGCTGGGCACCAACGCAGTAGTCGCCGACGATGGACGTGTTAATATCCGAATCGATCAGAAGAGCCGCGCGCTGTCACAACTCATCCTCCCACAAATACAGCGTCAGCTCACAAACGCGCAAGAAGATCCTGAGCCGCCGCCACCGTACGTCCCAGAGTTCCTCGGCGGTGCGCCCGGTCAGCAGCCTCCGCCTCCGCTGAACGTCGTCATACAAGTGGTGGGCTCTCGCGGTGATGTCCAGCCATTCGTCGCATTGGGCAAGGTGCTCAAGGATACGTACGGCCATAGGGTACGGTTAGCGACACACCCGACGTTCAAGGACTTCGTTATCGAGAATGGACTGGAATTCTTCAGTATCGGAGGCGACCCAGCTGAACTTATGGCTTTCATGGTGAAGAACCCGGGGCTGATGCCTGGCTTCGATACATTGCGCAGTGGTGACATTGGCAAGAGGAGGAAGGGTATCGCAGAGATTCTGAGCGGCACATGGAGATCTTGCATAGAGACTGGAAACGGTCTCGGTGTAGATCCGCTCCAGCAGACTGTCGAAGAGTGGATGGGTATCGAGGACCAGCTGCCCGAGCAACTGCGCAAACCATTCGTCGCAGATGCCATAATCGCAAATCCTCCCGCTTTCGGACACATACATTGCGCTGAGAAGTTGGGCATACCTTTACACATGATGTTCACGTATGTTTGGTCTCCTTCAGATACGTGCACCTGCTAATTCGGATAGCATGCCGTGGTCGCCTACACAGCAATTCCCGCATCCACTCGCCAACATCCAGTCTAGCAATGCAGACCCCACCATCACAAACTACTTGTCGTATATCATGGTCGACGTGCTCACATGGCAGGGTCTGGGCGACGTCATCAACAGGTTCCGCAAGGATAGCCTTCGGCTGGATCCCATCAGCGCTGTCTGGGCGCCAGCCATGCTCGCGCGTCTGAAAGTACCTTTCACATATTGCTGGTGAGTATACTTAAATGCTGCTCACAATTTGACTCACATCTCACAGGTCTCCTGCACTTATTCCTAAACCCAGGGATTGGAACCACCACATCTCCGTCGCGGGTTTCTACTTCCTGAACCTCGCCTCAAACTATACACCAGCCCCGGATCTTGCAGCCTTTCTCGATGGAGGTGAGCCACCAGTATACATCGGCTTTGGTTCCATTGTAGTGGACGATCCAAATGCCATGACCAAGATGATCTTCGACGCCGTGAAGATCACCGGAAAACGTGCGTTGGTGTCCAAAGGCTGGGGCGGGCTAGGAGCCGATGATCTTGGAAAGCCAGATGGCGTCTTCATGCTTGGCAATTGTCCTCACGACTGGCTATTCAAACGCGTGTCTGCCGTCGTACATCATGGTGGTGCAGGAACTACGGCAGCTGGTATCGCAACTGGAAAGCCGACCGTTGTTGTGCCATTCTTCGGAGATCAAGCCTTCTGGGGAGCCATGGTCTCAAGAGCCGGCGCTGGGCCTGATCCCATCCCATACAAGGAACTCACCGCAGAGAAGCTTGCCGGAGCTATCAACGAAGCCCTCAAACCGGAAACACTCGATCGGGCGCAGGAGCTCTGCGACAAGATCAAACAGGAAAACGGCACACAGAAGGGAGCTCAGTCATTCCATCAGATGCTTAATTACGACGAACTGCGATGTGCTCTTATGCCAGACAAGCCGGCTGTCTGGAGACTGAAGCGGACTGACGTGAAGTTGAGTGCTAAGGCGGCTACTGTACTGGCCCAACAAGGCGAAGTGAACTTCTCTGACATGAAACTGTAAGCAATCGCATGCTCGATTTATGACATGTGCTAAAACTTGTAGATACCGCCCTCGCGAGTATGTTCCTGATGAAGGCCCTTGGGATCCAGTTTCTGGCGCAGCTGGTGCTATTATGGGAACAGCAACCTCAGTGATGATGGGTGTTGCTGATATGCCAATTCAGACTCTCAAACTACTCAACATACATCCTGATGCCAGATCTAAGAAAGGCAAAGAAAAGGCCACAGGTACCGAAACTTCGTCGACCGGAGAAGGAAGTAGTGGACGCCCGACGACATCGAGGACGGCGACTGATGCTACCGATCGCTCAGGTAGAAGTGGGGCCGCAACACCAACTGCTGCTGATGCTGCTGCTGATCTGGCCCGGATACAGGCGGACAACCCAGCAGTCAAGAGCCCTGGCTCTCCTGGTACGCCTTCACACAGGTCATCATTCATGTCTCAAGCATTTGCTGAATCTACCCAAGGCTCGCGTTCGCGGTCTCGCAGTCGCTCCAGATCAGTGGCTGGATCTGCAGCACCATCCAACACTGGGCCAAAGCCAAGCATGGCCGAGAATTGTGAATCTGCAGTAGACACTGGGAAGGGTCTAGCTAGGATTGTTGGCGCTGGCTTCAAGTCACCCATGGACTTCTCACTCAATGTGGCTAAGGGGTTTCACAACGTACCGAAGCTCTACGGAGCAGAAGTGCGACAGGTCGATAAGGTTACCGATTTCCAGAGTGGCATGCGAACCGCTGCCAAGGTATGTTGACTACAACGCTACGAATGATGTTTACTGATGTCAATACAGCAATTCGGCTTTGGTCTTTATGATGGCATCACTGGTATTGTGACGGATCCTTACAAAGGCGCAAAGAAAGAAGGTGGTATCGGCTTCGTCAAGGGAGTTGGACGCGGTATCATGAGCGTACCATTCCGCGTCATGGGTGGTGCTTGGTCGGTTCCTGGCTATGCCATGAAAGGACTCTACCAAGAAATGGTCAAGAGCAAGGGAAAGAGCGTGCAAAACTACATCATCGCCGCACGTATCGCGCAGGGCTACGATGAAGCATCCGAGGTAACGCAAGAAGAACGCGACGAGATTGTGAAGAAATGGAGTCACATGAAGTGGGGTATCAAGAAGAAGCGCAACGTTGGAGCTGAGCAAATGGACTCACTCCATTCACTTGTCCAGCAGAAGAAGGATAGGAAGGATAAGCGCTCTGCTATACTCGACTCGCATGTTGGTGCAGTAGCCCAGCCATCAGCACACGCGAACTCCGTCCCACAAGGCAGCGCCGCAGGCCAATACCCTGATCCCCCACGCAGACGCGGTGTCGAGCCTGAGATCCGATCAACGATTCCCAGCTGGCGGCAACAAGAAGCCGAACGAACACGCGCATTAAGACGACAAGAAACCCCCACATCAGGCTCCCCATCAATTGCATCGTCAACCGCCCCATCCCAACAATCACAAGCCGATCTCGAAGCCCAACTCCGAGCCGAAGAAGAAGAAGACCAACGCGAACTCGAACGCGCCATCGCCGCCTCCGTCGCCGAATCCTCGCGCGGCGACCCGGAAGAAGACCGCCTCGTCGCCTCTGCAATCCGCGCTTCCATCGCCGAGCTCGAAAACGCACCCCCTTCCAGTAGCGGCGCGCCGACCCAACAAGACGAGGAAGCAGCGCTCCACCGCGCCATGGCAGCCAGTATGTCCGAAGCCGGCAAAACCGACATGACGGAAGAGGAGAGGAAGGCGCTTGAAGAGACGCTCAGAAAGAGTTTGTCTGAAACGAGTAAGCGGACAAGACGAGACAGCGATCATCATGAATGGGATTCTGATAACGATACCGAGGACGATGAGGATTACAAAAGAATTATCGCTGAATCGAAACAGCTTGCTCAGATCCATGCGGAGCATCCGGATGAATATGCGACGTCGACGCGAGGTGCGCAGCAGGAAAGCGGTGTTATGGATGCGATGAGTCAGGCTATCGGTGGTAGTGATGCTGCTTCGGGTCAGACGCATGCTTCTCCACCTCCTTACGCTCATTCTTCCGCCCGTGCTTCTACCGCCCTCGGAGAAGACCAGACGCGTGATCACGACATAGATGCGCGGGCCGCTCCTCCTCCACTCCCCCATCGCATCACAATGCAAGACAACGATAACGACGATGAAGATGCAGAACTAAAGAAAGTGTTGGCAGAAAGCGAGAAAGCGGAGAGTGAACGGATTAGCAATTTGGAGAAACAGAGGACCGAGGAGGATATTGTTATGGAGTATGTGCGGAGACAGAGTTTGCTTGAGGAGGAACATAGGCAGAGGGTTAGGAACGGGGAGGAGAGTGCTGGAAGGTAAAGATGCTAAAGGGAGGGGTGAGGGTGGTATATTTGCTGAATGACGAAATGTGATACCCTAGTGAGAGCAACGATACACGATTTATGTTTTTCCTTGAATATGGGTTGCAACGCGACATCTGATTGAATATTCTAGATCTATATGATGAAACATTATCTCCTATATACATACCATCTCACCATCCGAAAAAGATATACTCAAAAGATTTTACAAGCGGGTATACCCCCAAACGCCCAGTCTTCCATCACACCTGCGAACAAACAAAAGAACGGATAAAAAAAAGGAAACTCCCCTCTCCGCATGCTATGCTCACCCCGGCGCCGCCCCCGTCAAAACCCTAACCCCCCACCCCCACCACCCCTCCCTCTCGCCCAACACCCTCTCCAGCTCCCCGACCCTCCCCTCCACAAACTCAACCTGCCTCTCAAACTCGCCCACCACATCCTCGATATCCTCGACCTTGCCGCGTAGAGCACTAATCTCATACTCAAGCTTATCGCCCACGTTCCCCAATTCCCTTAGACTAGCCGTCAACTGCCCACGGTTATTGGTTACAGTCGCGTGCGTGTCTTCGCGGAGGGAGTGGTACGTGTCGAGGCGGGGGTAGTAAATCGATTCTAAAGTCTGGATGTCTGTGTCTGCGGAGGCGGAGAGGGCGGTTATGGAGGAGAGGGCGGTGGAGACCCAGAGGGCGTCTTGGGTGGAGAGGGTGTGGAGGTGGGTGTGGAGACGCTTTAGTTGCGTGGAGTGTAGGTTTTGGGTTGTGGCGCGGGTGGTTAGGGCGGCGGTTGTAGTTGTGGTTGTGGTGGTTTTAGTGAGGTTGTTGTCGTCGGCGTCGGCGTCGGCGTCATCTGCAACTGCTTCTTCGTCGATGGGATCCGAAGCGTTGATTGTGGGCCAGCGGAGGACGCTTTCTTCGGCTGTGCTGAAGGAGAGGTGGCGGGGCCACCAGTTTTCGTTGCGCGGGGGTTGGGAAGGGAGGAATTGGGTGCCGGATTGGGTGCGGCGGAGGAGGGGTGGGACTTGGGCGGTTTGGTCCACGGGAAGGTTTTGGTCGAGGTCTATGCCGTGGTAGATGGATCCGGCGACGGAGCTGGATATGGTGGGCGGTTGATCGGGCTGATCTGAGACGTCGCTTTCGATGATAGAACTGCGTAGGTTAGACGCGTGGCGGCCACCAATTAGCTTGTTGTCGTTTAATGACACCACTGAGTCGCCTGGGGTTTCGGTAAGCTGTTTGGTGTAGGCCGGTTCCTCGCCCATTGTACTCTGAGGCGACATGAGAGAATAGGGATCGTCCGACTGGCTTTCGTAGTAGTCCATCGACGTTCTTGAGTCTGCATACTGTGGTGTGCCACTCTTGGTTCGATGCAACACGTGTCGTCCATGTTCTTCTCGCGATACTTTGCTTGCATGAGTGCGCAGACCCACGGCGTTCTTGATATGATGGAAGCCGCTGCCAGACTCTAGCTTGGCTTTGATGGTGGCCCGCTTCGAATACGGATCTTTGCTGTCTTTCTCCTGGCCATCTGGCGAAAAGGTTTCTGCCTTCTTCATCTCCGAAGACCCTGTATCGCGCTTCGCAATGCCTTGTTGATCAAGCGTTGATTCTCGTCGGACCAGCTTCGGTGCAGGGTCATGTTTGTCTGGGGAGGCTGAGCGTGCTTCTCCGCCAGGAAGTCGATCGAACATGCTGTCGCCTGATACAGTTTTCCTGGGCTTTCCGTGCCACAACCACTTGGCGTGTTCACCTCTCACAAGCTCCACAAACTGGTCAATGTCGACAGTCTCGACTTCAGCGATACCGTCCTTCTGTCCAGCCCCAACAATGCCCATGACCATCTCACCGCCCTTGCCTCCTAACTCGGCCACGGTGGATTTGAAAGCCCGGGGAACGGCCCAGCCTTCTTTACTCGCTGCCTTTGCTGAGGCTCTTCGTAGCTTATCAAGCGTGTGTCGATCGAGGCGTCGCGTCCTGGGAAGATGTTGCGACTTCTGGAAATGTCCGATACCACGCTTAGTGGCCTCAATGTCGAAGACATCCTTGGCAACTGCAGCGCTACAAGCACTGAGTCGGTTTCGGGCACCCATCAGCATACCCAGCAGAGCAGCGACTGTGGTAGGACCAAGAATGCCATCGTGAGGTTCCACTGTGTAGTACTCCGATCCAAAGTCTATCCACCAGTCGTTGATAGCTTTCTCCGTGACATCGCACAGCAGCCCGTCTGCATACTCTGGTTCCAGCTTCCCAAACAAGACAAGTGCCACTTGACAGAGCTTCACAAGCTCAATGACGGAAGCGTTGAACGGGATCTTTTCGCTAGTACGGTATAGTTGCTGGAACTTGGCTTGCGTGGCACTGCTTGGCGGCGTGAGCTTTATGCCCAGCCGACCCGAACATCCCAGTCTCTTCAGATTCTCGTTGACGAAGAAGGCCTCGCGATATTTCTTCAGATCGCCTCCGGGGATGGGAATGACAGTCAGGGACGAGGGAAAGCCACTGAGGTTTGTGACCATCAAGGCGCCATAGGGGGTGTCCTTCCTCCGCGCATGGTACTCGGTCAGCGATCTGAAGTACAGGCGCATCTGCGGCGACCATTCCTCCTCATTCTTGGGTACGCTTATGATTGTGGCCAGCACAGTGTCCTCAGGATTGCCGGTATACGTTGTGATGAGGAAGGTGGGATGGGTGCGCGAACAGGCCCATTGCTCGACGAGGTATATCTCGTAGCCCTCGATCTTCTGGCGACGGGCGAGGACGTGGCATGAGGTGGTCGGGTCTTCTTCGATGTAGCGCGCGGCTACCACGTCGGTCAAGACGAAGCGCTGGTGTCCGGCAGGCGACGTGGGAGACTTGATCCTGGCCTCTTCGGGTATCATTTCGGTGGTAGGAGCTTTGGAGAGCGGCTGTGGGCGGGACTGGGCTGTAGTCTTGCGCTGGGTTGACGTCGTCTGCAGGGGCGGCATCTGGTCCCGCAGCTCCTTCTCCGTGTGCGTCCGCGGCGGCGACATGGGCAGTGGGTGCGCCATGTTAGGCTAGAGGCGGTGAGGTATGTTTCGGATACACTGCAGGGCGCTGCAAAGGCAAGCTCTTCATCGTAGAGAGGTAGGCGCAGAGTCTCGCCGATGCCCGAGCGCGAGCCACCGGTTCGAGGGCGACAGTGTGACGGGGAGCGAGTGGAATGGCACTTTATGCATGGTTCCAGCAGTCTCGAGCTCGGCGCTGCATCTGGATGGCGAGAGGGCGTCGGTATAGGGGAGGTTGTGCATGCGGTGGAGCTGATGCATCATGCGCGCGGACGTCGTCGGCCTGGTCCCCCACACGTCATGCCCGCGGCTGCAGCGACCATGCGGCGATCGCGAGCTCGACGCCAACTCCAATCCGCCAACACGACGGCCATGGACAGCGGAAGAGAGCTCTGCTGGCCAGACAACAGCTATTCACTGCCAGCTGACCCTCTCCCCAAACCATCATAGCCACTGCCCCAGGGCATCCCACCCATCGCTATCAACACCATGGACGACCTCCGCGAGCAAGTGGAGCTGCTGGAGAGCAGCGCAAACCTGTCCACCAGCATCGACGATGTGCAAAAGGCCATAGACATGCTGACGGCAGCTCGCGCTAAGATCGCAGCTGGTGAGGACTCTGTCAACAATCTCGTCCTGGACCCTGCTAACTTGCGCGACCAGATGCGAAGACGGCGCCCGTGACCCTCGCCAAACTCCAGGACCCGTTCAAAAAGTCGCTGGACGCGGTAAACAAAGACCTCAAGCCAATCTACGCTGGCCTGAACAAGTATGGCAAGACGCTGGACAAGGTGCGCTTCCCTACACATGCATCAACACCACCAACCTAACAATTATGTCCAGAAATTCAAAGACAAGCCCCTCCCCTCCGCCGACAACGATGCCCTCTCCTCGCACCCCTCGCTCATCAACCGTGCCATCGCCATGCACCTCCTGCGCGAAGGCCAATTCGAAGTAGCATCCACCTTCATCGAAGAAGCGCGCCGCCAGCCACCCCACCCAGAACCCACGCCCAACACGCCGAATCCATACATACGCGAAGCCTGGGAGAAAGACCTAGCAGAAGGAACCTTCAACTCGGAGCAACTGCAACGGCAATTCGCCGACATGTACCACATCCTGCACCAACTGCGGCACGAGCAGAACCTCGCCCCCGCCATCCAATGGGCGCGCGAACGCAGCGCCCTCCTCGAAGAACGCGGCAGCAACCTAGAATTCGAGCTGTGCCGGCTGCAATTCGTCTGCCTCTTCGACAGTGCATCCCCCGCCCCCAACGACGACTCCTTCATGTCCGACTCCTCCGACGAAGCACCCCCCACAGGCCCCCTCTCCGCCTGGGCCTACGCGCGCCGCGAATTCCCGCCCTTCCAAAAGCGCTACGCCCGCGAAATCCAACAGCTCCTCGGCGCCATGGCCTTCTACCAAAACATACCCACGTCCCCTTACCACCGCCTCTTCTACAACACCACCGCCTGGGACGAAGTCGCCCAGTCTTTCAACCGCGAGTTCTGCAGCCTCCTCGGCCTCTCCGCAGACTCCCCCTTGTTCATCGCCGCCACAGCCGGCGCGATCGCCCTGCCCTACCTGCTCAAAATGCAATCCATCATGAAGGAGAAGCGAACCGAGTGGACGACGCAGGATGAGCTGCCTGTGGAGATTCCGCTGCCGAGTCAGTACCATTTCCACAGCATTTTCGTTTGTCCCGTGTCCAAGGAGCAGAGCACGGATAAGAATCCACCCATGATGATGCCGTGTGGCCATGTTATTGCGCAGGTGAGTTTGGATACGCTGAGTAGGGGTGGGCATAAGTTCAAGTGTCCGTATTGTCCGAGTGAGAGTCTTCCCAAGGATGCGATTCAGGTTATACTATAGAGTAGGAGTGGTGGTTACAGAGTAGGAGTGGTGGGGGAGATGGGAGTATTAGTGGATGGGATATGGATATGCACAGTAGGGGCATGGGAGGGAAAGAAAGC